GAATGTCCATAAGGATATCTCTGATGGGGATTTTGGCAAATCAGTGAAATATTAAGTTTGACCCCGAGATAAGGTCATTTTGCTGTGCAGTCTCTTCAGAGATGAAGAGAAAGGATGTAGTTCTGGAAAAGTGGCTCATTTTGGAATGGTGTCCAAAGAGAGGTAAATAATTTTACATGTATTTATTAACCAGTAATGAGGCAACCTGGTTTGTTTTGAGTTGAACAACAGTTGTGGGTCACTGTATACCAATCTGCTTCCTCTATTCAGCTTGGTTTGACCCAAAAGTCCTGAAATCCTTCTACTTCCCCAGAGAAGCTGTGGCTGCCCCATCCCTGGAAGTGTCCAAGGCCAGGTTGGACGGGGCTTGGAGCAACCTGGGACAGTGGGAGGTGTCCCTGCCCATGGCAGGGGGTTGGAGTGAGGTGAACTGTAAGGTCCCTTCCAACCCAAACCATTCTATGATTCCATGATGGCTCGTGAAGCAGCAGGGAGACCAAAGATTAATCTTCCCTGTTTGGTTGTTCCTGGCTGAGGGTGCCAGGTGGGGACAACTCCCAGACAGGGCCAAAGCTGAAGGCAGGAGTGTCCTGGGCTTTGTCCCTGCTCTGCCAGGCTCCCAACACTGCAAACTTCTTAGGAAAGGTTTTGTAGAGAGGTGACAGCACAGGCCCAGCCCTGTGGGCTGGGACCATGTTACAGTCACAGAACACTCTGAGTTGGAAGGGACCCACAAGGATCAAGTCCAGCTCTTAAGTGAGTGGCCCATCCAGGGATCAGACACGACCTTGTTGTTATTGGCACCATGCTCTGACCAACTGAGTGTTGTGGGGCCACATCTGCTTCCTGGGACAGGCTGGGAGGATTTCTGGGTTTGCTGGAGCCTCCTGCCTGAGCTCATCACCCCACAGGGCAGTGCCTGTGCCTCTGCACACAGTGAGAAGGCAAATTATGTGGGTTACTTGTCCTTCAGGCCAAAAAATGGGTAAAGCCTCCCCTTTTGGCCAGTCTCGCAGCCCTGGGGAGTGTGATGGTTATCACAGAATCCCACAATATGCTGAGCTGGAAGGGACCTAAAAGAATCATCCAGTCCAGCTCCTGGCCCTGCCTGAGAGGATCATCCAAAGCCTCCTGCAGCTCTGGCAGCCTTGGGGCTGTGCCCACTGCCCTGGGGAGCCTGTTCAGTGCCCAACCAGCCTGTGGGTTACAGCTCCCCCTTCCTCCCAGCCTGGGGTCTCTGGGAAATGCCCTTGGGTTGGTGAGTGGGCTGAGCTGCCTGGGGGCACCTGAGCTGTGGATGCCCACCTGGCCAGGTGGGTGTGTGCAGGTGAGGGGCTGATACAAGCAGAGCTGGCAGGGTGTCCCTGTTTGCTCTGAGCTCTGAGCTGAGCCTGTGACTTCCTTCCTCTGCAGAGCACAGCACATCTTCATCATGGGGAGGGAGATCTGCTCTGGGAAGTGTGATTTATACAGCTTGGCCTCATTTTTCAGACTTAATTTTTCCCTTTTTTTTTGGAGTTGGCTGCTTTTTTTGTCTCTCCAGCAGGTGCCTCTTTAGATTTGTAAAATGTGCATACAAAGCAGTTTGGGATTTTTATTTTTATTTATTTTAAAAAGAGCCTGAAAGCCAGGAATTCTTAGAGAAGGTGCCTTTTGGGACAGAGTTTTAAGGTGCAGAGCTATATCCTTCAGGGGGAGCACAGGGTTGTCATTCAAACCATAATTGCAGGCCTGTGGCTCACAGAATTTCACGTGCATATAGGTTAAAAGGAGCCAGAATCTCTCTGTGCCCAAACCTGGGACCAGTTTAGGGATTTTCTTTGCTGTATTGTGACCAAATACCTCGTTCTGTGGACCTTGATCTGCTGCTTTGTGCCCTTTTTGGACCTCTGCTCCTCCTCACTGCTCCACCAGCCCTACCCCTGGTGTCATTCCACACCTTCCCACTCCAGGTCTGCCTGAAGAAAATGACAGTCAGTGTTGGTTTTTTGGGGCTGAGTGTTTTTTTACCCCTTTTTGTGGCAAGAAGAGCCCCACTGGCCAAGTCTGGTGTGCACTGAGTGTTCCATTCAGGAGCTCAGAGGCAGCGACAGGGACCCTCCAGGATTATTGTGGGATGTGGCTCTAAATTAAAATGCAACTTCCACAAACATGTCACTTCATCCCCAGTAATTGCATTTCACTATGATGAATCTCCTGCATCCTTGTTTAACCTCGAAAAGGGCTGATTTTATATGTTAATTAAGGCTTAATTAAATTTAAATTAAATGCTTATTTGAAACACTTAATTTGACGTGCTACCAGAAATTTCAAATATTGTGGTTTTATTGAAGGGGAAGAGAGGCTCTGCTGAGGAAAAATCCACCATTTTTCTGAGCACAACTCATGCCTTTTCGTAGCAGGTGTCTATGGCAAGAAAACAGCTGAATTCTGAGCAGTGGGCAAGCCAGGCTGTCTGCAGGACAAAAATGGGGCCTTCAAAGATTTATGGTCTAAAGAAAACCCAGAATATATATTTTTTAAAATATCTTTGGCCCTTGATAAGCAATGGCTGAAGTGAACATTTGCACAAGGAGATTTTTATTGAAATTGCTAGTCATCCCTAATTACGAAGTGTTCCTTGCCATGCTGCTAACCCCAAGCTGAGCCAATGAAACAAGTTCTGGTTCTGTCCCCAGGAGGGCAGGGAGCCCCTGAGAGCTCCCTGATGTCCAAGAAAGCTGCTGGCAGGAAAATCATCCCCAGGATCTGGGCAGAGGAGAGGTGCTGCTGTGTGCTTTGCCACTTACTGAGGCAGGAAAGGTTGTTTGGGCTGCAGTGAAAGGAATCAATAAGCTGTAAAACATTATGTGCAGCCGTGTTGGGTGATTTGCATTAAATATCAGCCCAGCATCATAAATATTCCCCATATGTTATAGTCTAGAGCAACATATAACCTCAGCCTTCTGCTAAAACAAAGGAAAACCTTTCAGAGCTTCAAAATAAGAAGTTTTCTCTCTGTGATGTCCTTTGCCCATGGGTGACCTGACTGAGAACTGGGTGGGAGTGTGACAGCTCACGTTGCAATTGAGTCTTGTTGCATTTTCTGGAGGTTTGGGTAGTGCTGGGGAGGGGATGAGGGTTGGTACTTGGAGTTGTTCAGTCTGGAGAAGAGAAGGCTCCAGGGAGACCTTCTAGCACCTTCCAGTGTCTGAAGGGACTCCAGGAGAGCTGAAGAGGGACTTTGGAGAAGGGCATGTAATGTCCCATCCCTGGAAGTGTCCCAGGCCAGGTTGGACGAGGCTTGGAAGGTGTCCCTGCCCGTGGCAGGGGGTTGGAACTGGATGATCTTTAAGATCCTTTCCAACCCAAACCATCCTGTGAGTCTGTGATTATATTTGGTGCATTCAATTAAATAATATTATTTTGTTTGTTCTAAAGTTGTCCAGGATTTTCGCCCTGAAAACACCCATTTCCTTTGTCTAACAAACATAAAAAGTGCATTTTCATTCACAAAATCAGCTTTGCTTGTGGGCTTGGTGCCCCAGCACCTCCTTGGTTCCACCCAGTCACTTCTGCCTGGGCTCAGGAGGTGACTGTGGTACATCTGGGGCAGGGCAGGGGAGGGGACACATTGCCTCCGTGTAAAGGATCAAAATAAATCTCAGACAGCAGGATTGAGTTTAAGAAAATATGCAGAAGGGATTCAAAAGGCTTTATCTTGCATGAAAAGCTTTGTTTGCTCTGAAGTAAACCAGGCTTGTAGCAGAGTTTTGTTGTTGGGTTTTGTTTGCAAGGAGGAATTGAAAACTTTGTGATTTGGGGGTTGAGTCAGACCAAAAATCTGCCTGAGGGTCCCTGCCAGCTTGGGGACAGCCACCATCCTGCCAGCCCCTTGAAGGGCTCCTGGCTGCTCCATAGGCACAGCCTGGGGACAGCCACTGTCCTGCTGGGGAGCAGAGTGCTGTGCCAAGGCCAGCTCTCCCTCCCTGTGCCCACCCTGAGCCCTGCCTGCCCTCACAGAGCTGGGCTCCTGCTGGAGCTGCTCACAGTGGGCTGGGCTGAGGAGTCATTTCCATCTCCCTCTGCCCACACAGGTGTGCTGGAGAAGCCTCTGGACAAGAAGGCTGGCAGGACCTACGGCCCCCCGGGCACCAAGAGGCTCGTGTACTTCATCGACGACCTCAACATGCCCCAGGTGGACACGTATGGGACAGTGCAGCCCCACACCCTGCTCAGGCAGCACCTGGACTATGGACACTGGTAGGAGGCCTGGGGGGCCGAAACCTTTTCATCCAGCTCTGCTGCCGGGGATGGAGTTGGAGAGGAAGTCACAGTGTGGATCCCTCTTCCCATCCCACGTTGGCCACGGCATCCAGCTGGGCTGGGCTGGAGCTTGCTGGGAGGCTCTGGGTCAACAGGCCATTGTGCACCCTCAGGGTGTCCCCTGTCCCCAGCAAACACACTCCCTGCCTAGCTGAGGGAGTTTCACCCCACTCCTGCCCGTCTGGTGACTGACCCCAGTGTAAAGCCTGCAAGGCTCAACCTGAGCCCTGCTGTGCTGAGAGTGGGGGAAGGACATGGATTGGCCTCAGCTGGGATGAGCCACCCCTGCTGTGAGCAGCTGATGCTGTTTCCAGTCAGGCAGCAGCAAACAGGCATTTTCCAGGCACAGGTAATTTGAAGGAAAACCACTAACAGTGTTTTGGAAGGAGATTGGTGTGTTTGACACCTCAGTCAGCAGTGCTGTGTGGGATAGGGGTACTCCCATCTCTCCCACAGGGAATACAGGGCAGGGACTTGGAGCAATTCCAAGTCTCCTCAGCTGTGTGTGTGCCTGACCTTGGCCAAAAGCTTCCCAAGTACAGGGACAGTGGGGTGGGGGCAGAAATTTGGGTCGGTGGGTGTTGGGCAGAAAGAGGGCTCAGGGGGTGTGTGGGAGCAGTGACACGTGGGGGACATCCTGTGCCCCCTGTCCCTCCCAGGCTCTCCTGAGCTCTCTAACCCTCTTGGCAGTGCCTCTGGGGTGTTGACCCTTGGTGGTCTCACTCACAGCCCATCAGGGTGCAGCTCACCCAGGGTGGTGAGCAAGGAGAGGGGCACAGCTCCCTC